CCTCATTATAATAGAGTAGGAAGGAAAAAATTAGTGTTAACCAATTTCACATTTCATGGACAAATGTTTGGATCAGATCATTGGTGTCAATCAGAGAGCACATTTCACCAACTCTTGTGACAGACTTCCTAGTTCAAAAATAATAGGCTTGTGCCTATTAGAACAAAGTTGCAATTAAAGATATAATGCAATACCAGAAGTTGTGCAGAAAAGGCTGTGACTATGTACGTGCTGAACAACCACAAATGGCAGGGATTGATTTGTCCATTACTACACATATTGCCTGTGAATATACTGCCTGTGAAATAGGTTCAGTTTAGGACAGCATGACACAATCTCATGTATAGCATTCATACCCGTTTCACTGATAGAAAAACTGAATGAGATCTGACAACATGACAAAATGTGGGTAATGTTTGCCATTTGGACTTTCTTTTTTTGAAACACATCCTTAGCTTATGTTTTTGGGTAGTCAGCTCTTGAGTGTGTGAACATGAAATGAGGCCAATAGAGAGAGAGCTCTGTTTGTAGTAATTTTGCTTGCCTTGTTTTTCTTCATTGTAGTGTTAAACATAACAATGCAGTCTCTTTGCAGATGTCAACCTAGCTTCAATATTTACTAAAAGGTTGCATTGAAATGACAGATGTGTTTCAACTGTGCTTCTTGTACGGCATGTCTGTCAGAATACCCTGGGCTCATGGAGACTGATATAATAAAGACACATTTAAAATAATAGTTGCCATTACATGAATGTTCCAAGAACACATCTTCACTCTTAGCATAACTGAACATACAAAATGGATGTTTACATATGTTATTGCTGAATGTCTCTTATGAAAGCACTTCTCCACTTTGTGAAAGAGGTGGGGAAGTGGGGCTGCAAAAAAATTTGACTAAAAGTGATGCAGTCTTGTGCAAAGGGATGCACAATAAATCATTAGTTTTGAATTCCAGCTATGAATCCATATGTGAAATTGACCCACAGGTAGGAATCTTGCATACAGAATGTTTGTACAAACATACACATTTGGGAATATTGTGTAAAGAAATTAAGATACCAGGGTTAATTAAGTTTAATTGACCAAAGGTACATTGTGAAATGGTATGTCCAAAATCCAGATTTTCTTGACCATTATTTTTGTAAAAAAATCACTGAGAAATGGAAAACAGAGCACAGTAATTAGTGAGTACACACAGCAGTGACATGGATGTGGGAAATGATTATTCACTTAGTCTTGACCTAGAACATGAATGTTTCAGTTAACACAAATGAGGTTTCAATTAGAACACTAACCAAGCAGTCTGAAAATTATCCAAACCTACAAGCCATCATTTTTTAAAAGCTATAGTGAAGTGAGATAGAGGGAGGGGGAGGTAATGGAGACTTAAGAAACTGTAGGAGATGGCGAGCCTAGATCAGAAAAAAAATCTAGTCTTTCTCTCTCATGGCACAAAATCTGCACATGAACACTGAATCTGATTGATGCATGATTTAGAAAAGACAAAATGACAATGTAATGGGGGTTGCAAACTTGGTAGATCCTTGCAGGATGAAGCCATCAAAGGTTACCATCCATAAAAGCTGTTCTGCCACCATCTCTCTGGTAAATAACATTTTTGGGTGAATAGTATCGTGTCCTTAAACTCATCTGACTAAGGACTCTGGAAATGGATCCTAAGGTTTATGTATACTTTTAGGGCTGGAAATATTTCTTGTGGCTGTCATGTTGTGACCAAACTGGGTATCTCAAATAGCTGTCTACAACTTAATGCCTTCCATGACCTTGTACGTTCAACTCCCCAAATTCTTAGGTTCAGGAAGAAGTTCTCTGGTTGAGGAAAGCTGATACAAAGAATTTCTGATTTCAGTATGGATTATGGACCTGTCTAGGAGATAACCTAACTTGTGGGGCACTTTTCTGAGTTCCCTACCTTTCAGAGCAAAAGGAAGCCACCTATTTTGTGACAAAAGTTAGCCCTTGGTTTCAGCTTTGTTATTTGGCCAGTGAGAGCTGTAGGGTCCATGAAAATGATGCCACCTGAAAGATAGGGCTGGTTCCTTTTGGTTTTATTAGAGGAGTGTTCTGTTTTTAAATTGGCAGGTGAGGCTATCTGAAAATTTCACACACTTATTTTAAAAAAGCCTTTGTTTTAAAGAAATAAGCAAAGAAGTCATGTTATGGTAAACCAGTGATTTGACACTGATTTTTAGCAGCAGCAGGATCTTGCAGGGAGGTGTAATGGTATATGGGAAAGACCTTGGGAGACTGGGCAAAAAGATGCTGCCTAGGGAACAGACAGACAGCCTAGCCTACACCTGGATAGTGGGTGGGGCAAGAGGCTCAGAAGGGACCTTCCCTAGTTTCTTGGGCTACAAAGGAGATGTGGGGGTGGGGGAGAGGATTGTACTTTCAGACTTGCAAGATTCCATTAATGCAGCTTTACAATAAAGTAGAATTAACTCATCTGGTCCTAGCTTCCTGTCTGGTCTACCTGGTAAGGCTGACAGGAGGCTTCTCCGGAGAAGGCAAAAAGGAAAAGAAAATAAGAAAAAGTGCCTGCAGGTTAGACAGCAATAGAAGAAGGGGCTTTTCTGAGTTCTTAAGGGCACCCTCTTCCCTGAGATTTTTACTGAAGAAAGTTTTAGATGCCTAGTCAAGGCATTTGAAATGTTTCCTGATTGTGAAGACTAATGCTAGAGATTTTACTGCTATGCTCAAATTGTATGTCTACATTATCCAAGATATTATTTACTGTTTTTAGTGCTAGAGTTTTCAATTTAGTTTGCTCCTTCTGTTACTCTAGCTTGTTGTGACTTTGTTTTACATTCATTTGTTGTGGCACGTCTATATTTTATATCATGTGCCTTTAATTGGAAACTGCCTTGGGCAACAGTTCTAAAAAAGCAGGGTACAAATATTTTAAATGTATTCAGTAAAAAGAACAACCTAAGAAAGCTGATGCCACTGCAGTAGTGAGCCCGCTGAAATGCAGAGCCTCCCAAAAAACCAGTTACACATTCAAATAGCCCCCAGGCTATCATATAGCAGTCCTGACTGGCTGTTCAGCTCCTTGGAGGGTATAGTGCTGATCTAAGAAGAGTCTGTCTTCATTTTTTTCTTCTGGGCAGCTCCTTTTTTGTTAAAAGAAGATTTTACCAAGATATAAAAAAAGACAGAAACATAGAAGAAGAAATAGAAAAGGAAAGAGATTATAAAAGGATAAAAGATAAATGTGAAGAATAACAAAAAAAAGAAAGAAAAAGAAAGATATCTAAAGAAGCGACTTCCGATCTTCTTTGCAGTGGTGACCAACATCGCAATCACCATCTCCACCCTCCCATATTGCATATCGTAGTTCCCTTCTTCCCATAAACAAACCTTTTTAATCAAAAAATCCTGAAATCAGCAATTCATTTTAATCCATTTTCAGCAAAAAGTCCATAAAGGGTTTCCAGTCTTTTATAAAAGTAGTTGTAGTTCCCTTCTTAATCAAGAAGTCAATTTAGCCATTTCTGCAAACTCAGCCATGTTCACAACCCATTTCTCCATTATTGGTGTTTCTGTAGTCTTCCATCCTTGTGCATACAGTAACCTCGCTGCAGTTACCATACATAAAACCAATTGTCTGAGCCTTTTCTAGTTGTGTCCATAAGTCCTAATAAGAAAAGATCTAGTTTCATCTGAATGTTAATTTTTAAAACTCTGCATCACTATATGCATTTGTGTCCAGTACCTTTTCACTTTTTCACAAGTCCACCATGCATGATAAAATGTCTCTTCACATTTTTAGGAATTAGGAAACACAAAATGTATTGGGATATCTGTAGAGACAGAGAGAGAGAGAGAGAGGAAAAAAAGATATTAAAAGCAGGGTGGGAGAATTAAGGAGTTGAAAAACTAGCCTGAACTTCCTTTTTCATATGAATAAATATGAACGATTTGGGATGGCTTTTGCTAAAAAAAAAAAAAAAGCCAAAATATTTTCCAATAATCAGTAAAAAGCATACCTCAGTTGACTTGGGAGTTGCAAAGGATAGTTGTACAGGAGGAAAGAAGAAAATAAGTTTACTGTTGTAAAGTGGAGAAGGGAAGGAGTCTTAAAAATTTATTTATTTTGTGTTACACTTTTTGTATACCACTACAATCACTAGGATTCTGACTGGGGTAGAATACAAAAACTGTAAAGTAAAATTAACATCTTTGAAGGACACCTTTTTGCCTTTTCTCTGTCAGGAGGTTAGCTTGGGCAATAGGGGCTCTTGATTAATTAATAACAACTGAATTGATTTATCAGCTAGGTTTTTGTTTAGTGAATTTGTTAAATATAAATAAGAAAAAAAGAAGAGCCTTTTGCTTTTTAAAAAATAGCTAAGCAGAGGGAAGGAAACAGTACTTTTGAAGGAAAAAGTATTTTTTCTTTTTAGATGGGTATCTACTTCATATAGGAGGCCTTCCCATGGAAGAGGTCCTCCCTTCTCTCTCTGCCTCTTAAAGGTGCTGCAGGAGGTAAATGAAGCAAATATATCTGCTGAACGAATCAGTTAATCAGAGGCACTCTTCCACTAAAAGTTTTGCTCTATTACTCTAACCAATTAATAGACTAAACAATGAATCCTATCTGCACTTAGCTTATGTGCAAAGCGATATTGAATGGTTTAAAATTGTATCCATTTAGCATGATCAATAAAAGTATAGTTTGGGTAACTCTTCCTTCTTGGAACTCTTCTTGGGAACTCTTTCTTCTATCATTACTCTTCTGTCACATCAATGTTTGTCTGCTGTATTGGCAAATCCTTCTCACTGTTGCCAGATCCAGGCATCATAAAATTAATGCAAAGCCATTTGGGATCACAATGAAAACCAGCAACTACAGAGACTGTCAATGTTTTTTCCATCCCTGGCTCCACTACATGTCAATTGTTTCTCTGAAAGTTACTGCATTGTATTTCTGTGCTAAAGTCATCTTCTTTCCTCCCCACCCCATTTTCTCCCTATAGATACATAGAGCACTGGAGGAATTTGCAGACTTTGCATGCTGTAGACATGGAACTGTATACAGGACTCCAGAGATTGTGAGTATTGTGTATTGTTTGATGAGTATCTTTGTCTAAGTTTGAGAGAACAAGCAAGCCTTGAGCAGGTCTGTTCCTCTACACTACCTTCAGAAATCCTAGGTAAAGTATGTTTCTGGTATGAATATTTTTACCTTCTTACTGGGGTAAGACCAAATGTTCTCTTCTGAGTTTGTGGTTCCATATGCAGGGATGAACTTGGAGTTGGAGGTGTTTCTCTGAATTGCAAAATGTGCATTCACCTTTTGGCCTCCTGCCATTTTCTGAAATAAAAATGGCATCATGGGCTTCATAAAGAAAGAGCTGAGCCTTTGCTGAGGTGGCATCTTCTTAACCAAACAACCCAACATTAATAGGTGAGCGATCATGTTTGATTCTGGAACTGCAGATCCATGGCAGGTATCCAGAGATGAAGCCTACAGGTTACTGGGCCTAACTGCAGCTGGGATTAGGTGAGGAAAGAAGTCAGTAGGATCCCAATTAATTTCATCTAGCTGGTAATTCTGATAACTCATTCTGTGGAGAATTTGTAGCCTTGGTTAAGACCTGGGTGCTCTTCTTGCAGACCAGCTTGCTTCATTGTTTTTCAGTGGACTATTGACCTGCCAATCTACCTTCAAATGACCTGCCCTGAAATGCATATGGAACTTTATAAAACACCCTAAAACATATGTGGGGAATACAGGGTCCATACTGAGCATGTTGCTGAGGCTCAGCCTGTTGTGAGTGTCTGGTTTAGCAATTTCAAGTCCCTACCCCGAGAGCTTCCATTTTAAATATTTCTCAGGTCTTTAAATCTGTAAAATGCCTTCTGTCAAGAAAACAAAACCTACAGTAACTCAGCTGCATCTGATCACAAGTCAGCAAAAAGGCCATTTTGCTAAGTTGTTCTGAAACTTAACTTTGAGAAGCAAATGCCCTCTGTAGGAATTACCCATGTAAGCATCTTAAGTTGCTTGTTCAGAATTTGTCTAAATGTAGTGTTGGAATTGTGTTTTTGGATGTGTTTCTGCTAGTGAAGGAGTTTTAAAACAAAATCACAGGAAAAGGTACAGACATATTCCCTTACAGATAAATTTTATTATCTGATACTCTTACAAAGTATATCCATTGTGTTAGGAACAACCAGGAGCACATTATGGCTTATGAGGCATTCTGTCAGACAGTTTTACTTGAAAATGGCAACTTAGGAGAATGGACTCACTTGATAGGGCATGAGACCTTTGACAAAGGTGAGAGTGGTACAAAACCCAATGTTTAAATTTGGATTTTTAGCTGGATGTTTTTTACCTGCTATAGCTAATAACTATGCTAATCTTATTTTATTTGTGACTTTTTTATTTGATTGTTGTTACTCTGGTTACTTTTCCATATGCTTTTGTAGTCCACGCTGAAAAGTTATAAAATGATAGGACAAATGGGGTTCACTGTTCATTGGCAGGAAGGTGAAATAGAAATCTAGTGGATAAATGACACAGCAACATTTAAATAAGCATGCACTTTTAAAAAAGGAACATATTGCTTTTTATTATTATTATTTCACCTGTTGAAATTAGTCTACAAGGAATTTAGGCTTGCAGAGTATGTATATATGTGTGCATATGTGTAATAAAGTAATTATGTATTTTCATTTATAAATCAAGTTATGAGGTACTATAAGCTATGAGAAACTGATGGAGAGATGGAGAATAGTACTTGAATGCTGGGCACGGAATACTATTCATTTTCCATCAACATGTTCTGTCACTGCATGCAATCTGTGGTTGCTTGGGAACCAGCTGTTGCTCAATGACAGAGCGTTCCCTTTGCCTACAGAAGTCCTGCTAGAGACATACAAGTCAGGTAAAAAATAGTCTGAATCATGGATTTGATTTAGATCTGTAATCTGATTTGGACCTCCTCATTGATTCAGAAAATTAATTGGATTTGGACTCCAATTTGAATCATCCTGTTGAATCCATTTGATTCTGACTTCCAAATCGATTAAGGGAAAAAAATTCTAAATTGTTCAAATGGATTTAGATGTCTTTGGTTTGATTCGATAGTTCAAAACAACTTGCTGAATTCAGTTCAGAAACCTGATTTAATTTAGAGAATCAACGCTGTTTCCATTTTCACACCCATCTTTTCCCTGGTTTAATCCTTAGCAGCTCCAGTTAAGGCAGAGACAGCTAGTTTGCTATCTAGCATAGACTTTATGGAAAGGCAGATGCCACTGTTCTAGAAACTTCCAGAATCCATACAAAGCAGGGCCAATGGCAAGGGATGCTGGGAATTGTAATTGAGCAACATCTGGAGTGTCCCAGGTTAGCCACTCAAGGTGTAGACCACTTTGAGGGTTAATGAACTTATGATCTTACTCTGGTATATGCTTCATTTGTTTGAGACTAAGGCTGACAGAAAGCATTGAAGTAATGCCTTAGACAGATTAAGTGCTTCATTTTGTCTTGGAAATCCTTAAAATAGCTATGCAAGGTTGGCTGGTATTCTCCCCACATTTGGAATTGTGGAAAGTGATACATACTGTGGCTAAATTAATCATGGGGCAGCCTTATCCTCTGAGGGCTTCCTCTTCTAATTCCTCCTCCATACACACGCACGCACGCACACATATGCATACATACACATATACATATAGTGTGAAAGTGGTAGAATTGTTTTATAAATATATACATTCATAGAAGTGTATTGCATTAAGGAAAATGCCTAAAAAACCTGTGTACCTTAGGCAGAATTGCCAAAAAAACCAAGCAAGTTTGCAGAAAAGTGCACTAAATGCTTGTGAGTTTTAGTGGAAAAGTTATTCAAAAAAGAAACTCAAGTTCAATGAATTGTAGTTGACACATATGCCCCCCCCCCAAAGGTGGGTACTGAGAAAAAATAATCTTGACAAATTCACTCCTCAATGAAAGGGGATATTTTAAAGGTCTCTGGATTCAATCTGGCACTATAGTCTTCCGATTATCTCTTCTGATTCAATATTGTCTGAGATCTCTGAGTGCCTGACTTTCCCTGATTCTTTTTTTCTTTCTTTCTTTAATGGTTGCTTTTACTGTCCTTTTGCATCTCTTTGCAGGACAATCACGAACTCAGGGCTCCGGAGCATCCAGCCGCGAGCATTTGATAAGAATCCTCACTTACATTACATGTAAGTAGATTGGTTCGTTCCCACCCATCTACCCTGTCCCTCGTGTCCCACAGTTGCTTTTTGGAAAAGTTTTCAGTTGCTTGAGACAGAGGAATGAAATATAGAAAAGCAAGGTGAAGCAACAAAGCAACGAAAGGAAAAGTGAAAGGGCCAGGGAATTATGGCAACTGAGAGCATTAAATGGCACTTCTTCTGCCGGGCAGATGGCAGATTTAGGTATCTAATAATCAAAGCTACTTTGATTGCAGAGTCAGTGGGCAGTTCCTCATTACCACACTTTAAGAGGCTAGTGAGAAGTTTCTCTATCAGCTTGTGGTTTAAGGGAATGTTGAGGAGGGAGGGAGAAGGTAGTCATACAGCCTTACCCCACATTCTGAAACAGTTCTGCTCATTCATATATAATGAAAGGGAGACACAAGGCAATTTTTTTCTGAGTTTTATTCTCTCCTTTGCCCCTCAGATCTGTGGGTAACTGTTGGGGCTCTGAGTTGACTCATTAAAAATGAGAGAGAGGGGCCAAGATATAATATGGTTGTCTGATTGTGTCTTGATAGATATTATTGACTAAGTATGATCAACTGGAAGGTGGATGAGTAATGGATGGAG